ATACTCATGTTTTTAGTATTTACCTTGTTTTATACAACACATTGATTTGACTGTTTATAGCTTTTTTTTCCTACGTGTCCACTTTCATTACTTTTGTGTCTGTTTAAACAGATCTCACTTGTAAATGAGTCTTCTAAGCTCAATGTGACTTATCTGTCTAAATAAAGGTTGAATGAATGAATGAAAACATTTGGAAGATCTTCCAGTTATCAGGCTCCTCTCTTGTGGAACCAACTTCCAGTTTCTGTTGGTGAGCCTGACACATTGTCCAGTTTTAAGACTGGGCTGAAGACTTTCCTTTTTGATAAATCCTATAGTTAGGGTTGGCTTGTTATGCTGCTATAGGCTTAGACTACTAGAGGACAAATTGACCTCATTTTCTTAAATTAATTGTTAAAATTGAATAATTTTCATTTGATACTATTTCTATCTTAACATGTGATTCTTGACCTGCCATTGTGTATCTGTTCCTACCAAACCCAGCTGGTAGAAGCAGATGGTCCTCTTGTCCTGATCCTGGTTCTACTAAAGGTTTCTTCCTCATGAGGGAGTTTTTCTTTCCACTGTCGCCTTCATGCTTGTTCAAGATGAGAGTTCAGTGATGGAGTTAAACTCAAAGCTGCTCCTCAGATAAATAATGTTCAATTATTATTTTATACATGAATGTTTCTGTTCAGTCCCTGAGACGACTTCTGTTGTGACTTGGTTCTATATAAATAAAACTGAAATGACCTGAATTGCTTTTTGTTGAATTATCGTTGTCTATACTTTATACATTATCTCTCTAAGTCAGGTCTCTCTTGTAAACGAGTCCTCATGACTCCATGAGACTAACCTGTAGAAAAAAAGGTTGAATGAAAAAATTGTTTATGATTTAAAATAGGACAATAGAATCTGAACAGACAAAGAGTTTCTCCTATGCATTCATCCATTTACAGTACCCTCTTCTCCTTTCTGGGTCATGAAAAACGGGTGCCTATTTCAAACTGTCATTTTGGAGAGGCACCACCCTGGACTGGTCATAAGTCCTATTTCCACACATGCAGATCAGAAATAATGGATGTCTTACCCTGAAAAACTCTTTGGTGGAGCCAGAGTCCAGAGTTCCGTAAGCTATCTCAGTTTGTTTAGCCAGATCTTCTGCACTTTCGATGGGAGAAACCATTCGCTCGACAGTCAGAAAAGCAGCCAGGTTGGCCGTGTAGGAGGAGATGATGATTAACGTGAAGAACCACCAGACGCCACCAACAATACGGCCAGACAGAGATCTAATGCAGAGATGAGACAAGATTCAAAGAAGTGTTTAAAAATAAATCACTTAGTATGAAAGTACTTTGTAGTATGCAGGATGTGTTACTTTTTACTGAGAGGTACAAGACATAAATATCAGGAGATGGCTCTGAAAAACACTTGTTGCTTTAGAAGGATTGTCCAGTTTTTAGTTTTTATTTTGGGTGGTGTTATGTGTTCCACTAATGAACGTTGCCATGGGAAGTACGGGTGCAAAGGTTTCACACAGAAAGAAATGTTCAAGTACATATTGATTGCAACAATGGCTTTCCTTTCTGATAAATCCTATAGTTAGGGTCGGCTTGTTATGCTGCTATAGGCTTAGATTACTAGAGGAGAAACTGACCTCATTTCCTTAAATGACTTGTTAAAACTGAATAGTTTTCATTTGATACCATTTCTATCTTAACATGTCATTCTTGACCTGCTATTGTGTATCTATTCCTACCAAACCCAGCCGGTCGAAGCAGATGGCCGCTTGTCCTGAGCCTGGTTCTGCTAAAGGTTTCTTCCTCATGAGGGAGTTCTTCCTTTCCACTGTCGCCTACAGGAACTGGCAGGTTTGAGCACATTACTCCAGTTCTGTCCTCCCTTCACTGGCTTCCTGTGCGTGTCAGAGTTGATTTTGATTCTTCTGCTGACATTCAAGTGTGTTAATGGCCTTGCACCATCATACCTCTCCAACCTCCTTCATCCTTATACTCCTTCTCGGGCCTTGAGATCATCAGACCAGCTGCTTTTGGCCGTACCAAAAATCAGCTGAAGCTCAGAGGAGATCGAGCGTTTTCAGTCATGGCCCTAAACTCTGGAACAATCTGCCCATCAACATTCGACAGGCCACCTCAGTCTCTATTTTTAAATCTCTCCTCAAAACACATCTGTACTCACTGACACATCTGTACTCACTGACACACCTGTACTCACTGACACACCTGTACTCATTGGCATTTAACACAGTGTGATCTCATTTGGTATTTCGTTGTTGATGATTGTGTTCATCCATTTTGCTTTTACTCCCTGACATTTAACATAGGGTGATTTGATTTAGTATTTCATTGTTTCTCATTATATTTAATGTTTTTATGCTTTTATTCATGTTGCTGTAATATGTTGTTATTAATATTTGATGCTGTGATCTTTTTTGGTAAGCACTTTGATAACAGTTACTGTTTTAAATGTGCTATATGAATAAATGTGACTTGACTTGACTTTCCACTGTCGCCTTCATGCTTGTTCAAGATTCTATGATGGAGTTAAACTCAAAGCTGCTCCTCAGATAAATAATGTTAAATTATAATTTTTATATATGAATGTTCCTGTTCAGTGCAACGAGATGACTTCTGTTGTGACTTGGAGCTTTAGAAATAAACTGAATTGAATTGAATGATAAAACAAAGATACTTCATAAGTGCAGTGTATGTTTAAATATTTTGATACAATTGAGGTTTTGTCAGTATGATACATAAGTTTATAAACCAGGGCACTTTTGTAAATGAGATTTTCAATATCAGTGAATTTCCATTGGAAAAATGAAAGAATAAATAAACAAACAACCATACCACAGTTGCACACTTGTGTGAACATTTTTAGAACTATTTAATCATACATAAAGTAGCAGAGCAGCATCAACTGCTGTAATTTTATAGGTATTACCTGTAAAAAATAAATCACGCTGTTTTTAAGTTTTAATTATATTTAGGAAAGCAGCATCCACTTTAAGTGCACAATTTACTGTTGATATTTGTCAAGCCATCCTCCATAAAGTCCTACAAACCCAGAAACTAAAATATGATCTCATGTTCCTGGAAGATTCTAATGATCTATTTTAAATGTATTTTAATCTAAAAGTTATCTTGTAGTCCAGCGTTGGATTTTTTACCGATATTGCAGAAAAACAAAATGTTTCCCTCTTTAATATGGCATTTATTTGGTGTAACAGCCTAGAAAGAAGGAACAATCTCTAAAGTTTAGAGGGATGAAGTGCATGCTTGAAGTTCTGAACAGTGATTTGGAGTCGTGTTGACACCAGTTAATCATCAGCATAAAACGTAAAGAGCAGGTCGACCTACAGGCTGAATCATCTCAACCATGTTGCTGAGCACCAAGTTTTACTCCCACAAGGCATAAGGTTCATCTCCAAATGCAATTAAATATTTTACATTAATTCTTTGACGTAAAGACAAAAAGTAGGACCACTGAATGTGTTTATGGCTCAACGACACACAAACAAAACTGGACATATTTTATTTTTAAAAACAACTTGGTAATAAATAATTACAGAAGACACAAGACAACATCTTTTAACCACCAGGTCTTACCCTGCAGATAAATTACAGATATGTATTTGCCTGAAGTACAAACTGCCAAGTATACAAACAAACAAACAAACAGTTGGACTCAGAAATGCTGGGATAGTTTAATTGTATTTTTTTCAATGATGAATAAAATAAAATTGATTATTGTTCAAATGCAAAAATAAATCATATTCACTTTGTTTCTTTTGACCTGTAAAAAAAATATCTGACACCTTTTGACGTCTTCGACCAAAGGTCTGAATGAAATGGGAAAAGCTGAGATAATTTTAAATTTTGTAAATGCACTTTTGTTTTAACTCGTGTTGTTTCAACTGGAGGAGAAAAGAACAATGATGAGAAGCATCAGATGAACAGTTTGTGATGTTCAGGGTTCAGTTAAAAAGAAGAACAAAACTTGACATTTTCACGATGATTGTTTTTTTAAACTAGTAAAGTTTGATCTACTTTCCTTAAAGGTGCATTGTAAAGGAAAAAAAAACCACAACAAACAAACAAGACCCTACACACTACATAAAAGAAAGAAAAAACAGGAACACATCATTATAAAGTCTAAAAAAAACTATTTTAAATAATCCCATCCAATGCATGAAATAATCTCTTGCAAGGCTCCAGGTGGAATGACTACAAGGTTTAAATATGTTTGTTGGACTTGTTTGTTTGTTTGTTTGTTTGGTTTTGTTTTTCTGATACTTACACTATTTTTATCACATCTGTGTGTTTTGTGATGATTGCATCTGCTTGTGATTATTTTTATTTGGTCCCCAGAGTCTGTTGTTGCTGTGTCTCCGGTGTTTCTCTGAGCTCCTCTCACCTGTTCCTCGTTGTCCTTCCCAGGTGTTCGTCTTTTTGTCTCGTTAGTGTCTCTTTAAGTTCAGCGTCTCTGCGTTTCCTGCTTCTCCACTGATTGTGCTTCCAAACCTACATGCTCTGTCTCATTTGTGTCTCCATGTCTGTTTTTAAATTTTGCTGCTTTGTCAACTTGTTTTGAGTTTTTGTTAAGAATTAATTCTCATTATTTTTACCTGTCGAGTTTCCTCATGCCTGTCTGCATTTGGGTTCAACCCTCAGCACAGGGCTTGTACAATTAATTAAAACCTTTAATTAAATACAAAAGAAAAAAGTAAAGAGAATGAGGCATGTACTATGCATGTAAAAGCAGCCATTTAGGTCACTCACACGTGCGCAGACACACCAAAAAAAAAAAGGTGTGTGCCTCAGATTCTCTCATTAGATCACAGAAATGTTTGGGGGACTTGGCTGGAAGTGTCTGAATAAAGATAAAGCCAAAGAGGATTGATGTTCACTTTTCAAAACCACAAGTTCTGACACAAACTGTTGATATATAGTTAAATGTTGCACAAAGGTAAAGTGTGATGAATTGAACAAACTTCAAAAAATCCAGCTGTATTCATGTTTGGAGAAATATAATGCAAGTGATAAAATGTTAGCTTTATATTTGGATATTTTTTTAGAAAATCAACAAATATTGTCTTTTCCCTGAAGTTTTTTCTGGACTGAAGTGCCCAACAAATGTAATATACCACCAGCATTTTGTGGCATTGTGTAAAAATAACAGAAGAAAAAATAAAAATAAGCAAACCCTTTTATATAAAATGAAGAACAAATGTGTGATACAGTTTCCAGTTATTCTTGTCTAACTACAGATCAAGCGATGTGGCAATGCTGGTTTTTCATCAGATTGTTATGTTGGTTTGTTCCACCTACCTGGGCGAGATGTCACATCCTTGCCTCATGAAGGCACCGAGGGAGAACCACAGGCTGTTGAATATGCCAAACTCGTTGGTCGACTCGTTGGTCTGGATCTGCCCGTCCTCGTACTCCTCGGTGTGCCACTCATAGGGGCTGAAGCGGCTGACGAGGAACAGCACCACGCTCACGCCAATGTAGGCAAAAACGATGCACATCCAGATCTCATAAGCCAGCGGGTCCAAGAAAGAAAAGACTCCAGGTTTGGACTTCTGTGGCTTCTTGATCATGATGGAGATTCCCAGTGACATAAAGGGTTTAGAGAAGTCGATCACCTCCTCTCGTACCAACGTGATGGTCAAAGGGGCCACCGCAATATCTGCTTTCTGTCAGGCCAAAGGGTGAAAGCAGCAACAAGGTTAGAAATCAAAGTAACACTTTAGACTTTGCTTTTTTAAATTCATATATAGACCATCCACCAAGACTACGATGGTGCGACAGTACGTACTGCTGTTATAAAGGAATGACTAATACCTTCAGTTAAGCAGAATAACTCACCCCATACACCAGTTCTCCCACCATTCCATTCCAGATTTTGGTCTCTGCGTCTCTGGCTCCGTACTTCCCATCCCCCACTATCTTCAGCTGATACTTGAAGCCGCAGTGCTTTGCTATCTCTGCAGCCAGGTCCACACAGTAACCCTCGTAGCGTTCGTTGTCCACGAAGAGGTCATGATTCTTTTTCAGCATCACATATGGAGCTTCCTGAAAATGGAAATGAAAACAGAGAACATTGTCCAGTGGTGATTTAAGTTGAGAAATATTTTGTACTAAGCTGGAACTGGCTTTTTAGAGCAGTTGTCCTCCAATGCAAAAGTTGGGGGTTCAAATTCACCAGCAGTCACATGCCGAAGTGTCCCTGGGCAAGACACTGAACTCCTCATTGACTCCGATGTGTGTCCCATGTGATAAAACACTGATTAGTCTCTTTAGAATGATTTGTTCAATTAGCTTTGTAAAGATCTAGTGCTGTATGAATGGGTAAATGAGGCACAGATCGTTGTAAAGAGCTTGGAGTGTCTTGATAAGATAGAAAGGAGCTAAAGAAGTACAGTCCGTTTACCATTTACTTTGTGTCTGGACTACAAATAAACCACCGGAGAAGAGACGCTGGATCCTCAGAAGGATTGAAAATGGTGAATTAACAGTGCCGGAAGTCAAACTCATAATTCACACAAGACACCATGGGGGCTAGGAATAAGGTCAGGTCCTCTGGATGGATTCTTCTTGTTGAAACATTGTATTTTATCCAGAAGCCTTCTTCAGTCTTGGATAAAAAACAAAATAAATTCAACAAGAATTCGTCCAGAGGACCTGACTCAACCTTGTTAGAACACTTAAACAGTTTCTCCAGTGTAATCTTACAAAGATGGTGGTGACGATAACTGTTTTGTTTTCCATTCCTGTTGTCTCGTTTGAAAAGGCGCCAGTGTTCGTCACAGCCATTTTGTCAACTTCATTCCAGTAGCCAATCTGTAGGAAGAAAAAGACGATGCACTTCAGTCAAAACTGAACATCAATGAGCTCGAATTCTTTGTGCAATCCAAGCCGGAGAATGATTTCACACACATCTTGTTTAAAAGCTCAACATGTAAAAAATAAACACTAATTTCTTGTTGAGATGATTGGTCCCACTTTTACCTTTACTGGACCGTTGCTCTTTAATTCCATGATATTCACAGAGTAGTTGACTCGCTTGCCATGCTGATCAAACTGAATATTTCCTGTCAGGCCTTCCACTCGTACCTGGAAAAACAAGATTATTTTTAAATGAAAGCACCATAAAACTGATTGATGTGCTTAGTTTAAAGAAGCTGTGCAACATTGAAGTGTTCAGTTTCATGTAAAATTATAGAAATAATATGAGTTCTTCTTACTAATGATTGTAAACCAAAGGTTGGTTGGAAACATTTCTGTGACTTCATTAGTACTGTATGACTTTATCTTGCAAATGTGATGCACACAATCCATCAATGTGTTAAAGTTTATTTATTTATTTATTCTGTAGGTTTCTGTTTAAATATTGAATCAAAATTTCTTGTGGAAAAAAGTGTTATTGGGGACAGCCAAGACAGATTATTATAATAATAATAATAATAATAATAATAATAATAATAATAATAATAAT